TTCTCTAGCCAAACAAGCTGCTACAGAGTTAGCCTCACAAAGTTCCCTACATAAATGAACTAGCTCTGAAAGCAGCTGGGTTAATTGATAAGCAGTCCCAAAGAGATCCAGAAAGCACTTCAGAATTTTCCACTGACCTGTGCCATAAGCAAACTCTTAGAACACCTTGAATGTCCCCACCCCACGCTAATGAAGCAAAACCCTCTTTTAGAAAAATCCCTTGGGTAACACTGAGAGATATACATGTATTTCATTGTGCTGCTATCTTCATCTACACTTAAAATGATTCAAATTTTTTGAGATCCTTTGAGAATATCATAATTGCTTGTTTCTCATTACACAAAAGAATTGTTATTCCATAGGAAAATAAATTTTTCTAGCTTTTCCAATAACAACTACCACCATGCTGTAGGCTATAGCATAGATATGCTTGAAGGATATACTTCAAGACACATTTACATATAATCTCCATTTCAGTCTCCTCTTCAATCTTAAGTATGTACAAACATCATTGGTAAAAAAAAAAAAAATCAACTTTATTGTGGTGTATCGTACTTACAATAAACACTCTCATTTTAAGAGTACATTTTCATGAGTTTTGCCGAATGTATATATGCCCGTGTAACCACTGATTGGGTTCTTTAAAAGGAGATAGCTATATTTAATTCTGCTGTAACTATTTCACATGCACACAACAGATCCTAGCCCTTGAAATGCAAGAGCTGCCTGCACAGCCCCTCTGCAGACGGCACGCCACCTCTCCTTAAGCACTTCCAGTGCCCAGGAGTTTATCATGAAGACAAGGCATAGTTGATGCTCCATTTCCAAACAAGAACAATATGTATGAAAGCATTCTTTTCACCTAGAGCATCACACAGTTAAAAGGCCACAGACTGCTTAATTTTTGTCTTATAGATATTTGTAACAGTCATCCTCTGCTTCTTGCTCTTAGCCAACCAGTGATTTCTCTCACCTAAAAAGCTCTATTCCTCCAATGGTCCCCCCAAGGTTTCCAGAACCATTTCCCATCCTGCCCCCTCTTCCTTGAGGGCTTTCCAGTTTGCCTCTTAAAGGACTCAAGTAGCCCTTTTATGGGGTTTGACCATGGAAGGGCAGAGTCCTAGGGCAATTACCTCCAAGATCTCTATTCAAATATTTGCTAAGTGCCCAGCATGTGCCAAGCACTTATATATGAGTAAGACTCTGCACCTGCCCTCAGTAAGGTCACATAATTCCATTAATGCAGCCTAATTAATGATCTAACTGTTGTTTCAGTCATGGCTCATATTGAACTTGGAATGAATTAAAGTTCACATACATTGTATTCAGGGCAGAATAATTTCTTCCAAACTAAGTGCAGGGCTTTGCAGATGTCCCTGTTAGCTTTCACTAGTTTGATTTCTGCCTTATTCCAGTAACCAATGTAAGAATTCTAGCAAGAGAGTAACTACTGTTAATACTGAATATTGTTAATAAAGCAGTTGATACTTCATGGGAAAAAAAGGTGTTCGCTTATTTCCCCTAGTTTAAATTAAAAGCAGTTTCTGAATTAAGGTTAAATTAGTCTCTGTAGCTTTACCTACGGTGATAAATTTATTATTTAAACAACAGACTGTGTTGTAGTATTTCATCGTACTACACAGTGTATTGGTAAGTGAGGGCATACTATCGCGCTTGTTCTGTTTTCTAGATTGTAGGTTCTTTCCCTGGCAAACTCCCACTCACCCTTCAAGACAGATGAAGGTGCAGATGGCACCACTCAGGTGGAGAATTCCAGAGTCTCAGACAGAGGTAAGAACCACCTTTCTCTCTCTCTCTCTGCTCTCAGTTCATAACCACACCATGACAATGGGTCATTTACCCATTTTTCACGTTTGTTTAGGGTGACCAACTATCCCTGTTCCTTGGGGACTGTCCCAGGTGTAGCAGTAAAAATCCCAATTCCTGAGAAACCCCTCAACCTGGGCAAACCAGAAAAACTGGTCGCCGTACATGATAAAGAGTGACTGTTTAATAAAACAGCGATCATTTACAGAGGGCCAAAGCCAAATACTTTGCAAATATTACTTTATTTTTCTAATTTAAGACAAAACTAAAAGTAGTTATGATGATCCCACTTTACAGAAAAGGATTTAGAGAGGTAAGTAACTTGCCCATGACCTCATGGGGCTTGTGGTTTGCCTACTTCAAAAGTCTGAGCTCATACCATCACGTGGTCTGGCCACCTTAGGGCGCAGTGGTAGCTCCCCACAGGAAGCTTTCGATAAATACCGTAAAATCAGTTTTCATCTTCCTTCCATCATTCAGTAGCGTATGTGGTGTAGGTCCTCACTAAAGCTACCAGGCATTTACAGGATGGCCCATGTGCTGAGAAAAACATACAGAAAGCATATTCACATGCAGTGCTTTTAACTTAAGTTGCTTTTATGTAAGTGCCACCCACGCAAAATGGTAGAAATCTGCAAGCCAACAAATTCAACCAGCCTCCTGTTCCCTCACAGAGATGACCTGGCACCACTCACGCCTGACCCCTGAAGAGATGTGGCTGTGTGCAGAAGAGAAAATCCAGCATAGGCCAGTCCCCAAAGCTGTCTTCAGGTGGGACCTCATGAAATGGCAGGGCAGAGCCCAGAGACCAGAGAAGACAGGCAGCAGTTTTTGGCAAGAAGTTCCCTGGAGGTCAGCTTGCTATTTGTGGACAATGGATTTGGAAAACATGACTTACTTAAATCTGAACACTCAGTTTTTACACTGCTGTGGTTCTAGCTCTGATGACCAGAAAGTATCCTGCACCTTTGGGTTTTTTAATTCTCTCTTTTCCTTAATCAAACATCAAATTCTCACTCCAGGATCATAGGGTTACAAAGCAAAGTCCCCCTTCCCGCCCTCAAGTTAAAACAACTGTGGCCCACGGGGACTACTTCTCCTTACGAAATCCGAGGCCCCTGAGAGAGTTCTGGAGAAAACCCAGAGATTTCAAGAACGCAGGGACCAGGCGCCCACCTCCCGCCCCCACCCCGCGCCGCCATTGTATGGAGATGTGGCCACGCGCTATCGCGCCAAGGTCGTCCCCAGGCTCAGCGGCCCCTCCTCTCCTGGGGGCTGCCGTCTCGCTCCCCCAAGGTGGAGGGGAACACTAGGAGCCCAGACCCGGCACCGGCGCCACTTCCACGGTTAATCAGTTTACCTGGGATGTGTATTTGGCTGGACCCCCGTGGGCACCTTCCCTGGCCTCCCAGGGCCAGAGGATAATTTAAAAGCTCTTCAAAGCCCGGGCCCTTCTTGGAGTCAGCCCGAGACTGGACACCTGGGAGGGACAGGCTTTACTCTTCAAAGTGAGAGCAAATGCAGAAGGATTTAGCACTTAGTAGGTGGTCAATAAATGTTAACTTTGTTTCTCAGGTCGGGGCTTCCCCTCCTCCCCGAGAACCGGCTCAATCCAAACCCAGTCTTCCATCCCTTCCCGAAATCCCGCAGGACCAGAGGTCGTCTGCATGTCCAAATGGCGGTTGCCACCTCCGTCTCTCAGCCCGGCGTGCCGAGGCACCTCAGCTAAGTCTGGGGAAGTGGGACGCGTCTGCGCCGTCCCAGGCCTGACACCGATGGAAACAGTAAACCGCGCCCGACGCGACTGTCATTTCTAACTCCCCTCCTCCTCAGGAGAAGCGGAGGCTCGACGCGTGGAACGGCTGCGACAGTCTGCATGTGACTCGGGAGTTGTAAAGAAGCCCCTCTTGGCTCCCCGTGTTCCCCGACACTGACCCGGCGTGTCTGTCCCCGGCCGGCAGCACAACGCGACCCCACGGTTCGACCGCGAGGCACCCACAGTGCGGGCCCCAGTTCAACCCTCTCCCAGGCGGTCTCCTTTGCTCTGTCCCTTTGTTCCCGGTGTGAAACCCCCGACAGAAGAATCATCTGCCACCCCAAGGGGTCCTCCAGCTGCGCCGCCAAATGGCCCAGAAGGTCTCAGGTCCAGGCCAATGCAATCAGCTCCCCACGGGGCCCTCTGGGGAGGACCGGGAGGAAATGGGGACAGAGACCCCGCGGCCGCCAGCGCCGTCCCCCCCGGCCTCCCGAGGCGGCTCCTCGACTCTCCGTGCGCCCAGCGGCCTCCTGTCGCCACGTGCGGCCCGGCGCAGGGGCTCCGGACTCCTCGAGCTGCGCCACCGTCGCCCCCGCCACCGCCATCTTCCATTCGCCTGCCTTGAAACTCGATGCCTCCACCCGCCAGCGCACAGCTGTGCAGAATGGGGACCCCAGCGGGGCTCGGGGCAGCCCCCGGCCCGCCCCGACCACCCCCGGCCCGGAGCTCAGTACTCACCGAGACTGGGGTATCGCGCAGCTGGGGTGGCCCGGCCGGGCAGGCTATGCAGGACCGGGCTGTCGAAGGGGCCCGCGGAGGCGGCGGCCCAAGATGCGCCCACGTCGGCCACATAGGCGGGGTAGGGGCTGGCGTAGGAGCCCGCGAAGCCCGCACGCCCGTACTGCTCGCGGCCCGCCAGGCCCGTGCCCGCCGCCG